TTCTTTTCCTTTTTTTTCCGGTATTTTTTCAGTTTCTTCCCTTTCTTTTCCTTTTTCCCTATTCTTTCAATGTCTCCCGGGACTCTTCCCCTTCTTTTCCTTTTTTCCTGTTTTTTGAATTTTTTTCAATTTCTTCCGGAGTAGGAATTTGAATTAGGTCGTGCAGAACACAAATTGATGAGAGGACCTGGAGGCTGGAGTGTTGTGTAAATATGTGATGTGTGCCGGTGGAAAAGGAACCGGACTGATGCTCTCCAGAATGGATATGGAGCCAGCGTCATACGGACCCTGTTTTGATAAACCGAAAAAAAAAAAGAAGGAAAACAAAAAAGACCTGATCCCCAGGAGCCTGACAACTAATTGGTCATAAGGCAGTGCTCATCCCCCGGTCCGACCGGAGGGGGGAGAGAGGGGGGGGGTCTCCTCCAGCCGCAACCGTTCCAATCGGACCGGCCAGTCGACTGGCACAGCTTCCACCGGTCGGCCCCAGCGCATCACAGCTGGCGAGGGTACCAGGGTCGAAATGCTGCTAGGGGCAAAATATAGCTTTAAGTAGGCCAGGACGAAAAGATAAAACCGAAAATCACTCCGGTCGGCCCGCCCAAATCATTTGAAAACGTTGACCAATCTGGACCATCGATCTCGAGAGATCAGCGGCCCAGATCAGCCACTATTTTAAAACGATTTGGGCAGGATCTGGCGGCCGCCTCTACCCCGACCACGTGCCAGGCGTTGCCTCCTGCTTCCCCCTTCGATGTCGCGTGCTTCCCCTTTTCTTTTTTTTTTCTTTTTTTTTTTTTGGGTTTAAAGCCCTAGCGTAAGCCCTCTATCACATCATGGACACTCACAGAGAAGGACGTCGATGCAGCCGCCGGCACGTCCACGAGGCATTGCCCGCCAGTCGGCGCGCAATCTCCATGTGATAACTCGTGTGTGTGTGTGTGTGTGTGTGAGAGAGAGAGAGAGAGTGTGTGTGTGTGTGTGTGTGTGTGTGTGTGTGTGTGTGTGTGTGTGTGTGTGTGT